CTTTTCTCGGGGCTCGTATTTTGTTGTTCTACAAATAAAAAACTGAGTCCTCTAATTGTGCAGCTGACCCCCAGCTTTCAACAGCGGCTCGCGCCTGACACTTCCTCACAACGTATTCCATAATCGCGCTCTCGCGCCAGACTTCCTCACAATGTATGCAGGAATCGCGCTCTCTGGTGGTACGTTCTCGTCATGTATTCAGACGCCGCGCTCTCGACACTCAGGAATTTCGCTCTCGCTTTGGCATTCCTTACGATGTATTGGGAAAGCGCGCTTTCGCTCGCGGGTCATGCAGGATTCACGGTTTAGCAACCCGCTTTCTCGACCTGGCCGCCTGGGCCTGCCTTCTCGACCCGCCAATTAGGGTTCACCCGCCCGATCTGCCTTCCTTGTTCTGCCACCTGGTTTCTGCTCCCACGCCCGTCCTGCTAAATTGTCTCGTGCTCCATCCTTCTCCCTTCTCCCTTGTCCCTTCCGCTGTCGGACTCCTATCCCTTCAACGCGCCGGCGATGCGACATTTGAGAAACTGCCGTCGTAGTAGGTGGTGTTGCGGAACGGCCCAGGATCACATTCCAAGGGTAGACGCGCGCGCCATCAAGCAAACAAACATCGATTGCATCGTTCAGATCTGCACCAGGTCGATTGTACCATGTAGACTGCGCACCACATATTGTATCTGACTTGCACTATACATCTGTACATACAAAGATGGTGCAGTCTTCGTGCAACAGTCTATTTGGTGCAATTCGCCTTGCCGAATTTGAAGTTGTCAATTCTATTGCTCGCGCAATCATCTCGCCCACCCACCCGCAACTTGGTCTGTGAAATCCATCCGGGGGCGATCGCGATGAGTGCTTTGTGTTGGCTGGTGCATCTCTGCGGCCGCGCTAGCCCGCGCATGCTCGCGCGCGCAGCGGCCAGGTAGTTTTGCACGACCGACGCGGACGCGGTGGCGCTGACCGTTCGGCACTTCCCAAAGGGCATTTCAGTGCGAGTCGGCGGCTTGGGCGGACGCGGTATCATGGCAACGTCGGCGACGGTTGACACGATGATGCTAGTAGCGATGTTCGCGGCGATGTTGACAGCGACGACGGCACGGCCAGTGACGACGCGGATGTTGATCACGCCGACGACGATGACGGTGTCTTCGCGTCGGTGATGCAGGTTCTGGAGGGTTTTCGACATGCGCTCACGGCTGACGCGCGAGAGTGGCCGCGTGGCATTGTTGGACATGGATCGTGCCCCCCCCCCCCCCAGCACGCGCGAAAGGGCGTTCGAATGATTTCGGCATGCGGCGCGACAGGCCCGCTTGGCAGAATCCAGTGACAACGTTCGCGAACCGATGGCTTCTTCAGAATCCGCAAGAGTGCGCGCGCAAACTGTATTGAAAGTTGATGTTGCGAAGCTATTTGTTGTATGGTTTCGGGGCTCTCGGTTTGGAGCCCCGTGCGATACCTGATGTTTTTGACTGGTTTCAGCCTGCGCGCGGCGACGCGCGCGTGTACATGTCGTCCCACTTGTCCAAAGGATTCTTGCGACAGCACGCGCGCACGGGCGTTCGAACTTTTTCAACATGCGCGCGCGAAGCAGTTTTGGTAGCATTATATGAGGATGATGAACAATCTTTTGTGGTTTTCTTACGAATTCGCAAAATCGCGCGGGTTTTTTGTTGAAGATATGTGGTGCGAGTTCCCGTTTTTGGATGTGTTTGGACATTCGATTTTGAAACCTTCTCGACACCGGAAGTTGTTGAAGGATTCCGGCATGCGCGCGCGACAACGCGCGCGCGTGCATCTCGACATTTTTTTGTTTTGTTTTTGTTGTCCCCCCTTTTTTTGGCAAGGGATTCTTGGAAACTTATGATTTGTGATAAACGAGTGCGCGCGCATAGAAATTGTTGCAGTGGAGGCGAATGTGGCGGATACCGGTTCGCCTGGGATGATTAGAGTTCAAATTTCGGATGGACGATGGGGGGCATAATCGTATGTAACTTGCAATACGGAAAACGGGCTTGATAATCCCCGTGGTGGTGGGGGGGTCGAATCAATGTTTTCATTTTTTGGAAAAAAAAAAAAACACAACAAATAATTTGTGTAGTGCGCAACGAACGTCGTACCATCGACCCGGTGCAGTCGAAATGATGCGATCATATGTTTTGTTTGATGTCGTGTGTGCGTGTACCTTTGTAAAGTGGTCATGGGCCGTTCAGCCACAGTCCTTGCTACGATCGCAACAAGTGTCTCATCGCATCGCACGCGCTGTCAACAACAGGAATCCGGCAGCGGTAAGCCCGTAAATTGCCCGTGGCTGTCCCATGAGACCTTCGAGGGTTTTCCGTGTCGGAACCCACATGATGTTATATTGGTCAAGAAAAAAAGGCAACAACAAACGACAACAACGACCACACGAATAGCAACACACAACAACAGCAACAACAAGACCATTCACTTCAATATAGCTCGTTCCGATTTGCCAGCATGCCGTTCAACATGTATACGTATCCCAGTGCTCGATACCCGCCCTGTTCGTCTTCGGTCGTACCCCCATTATAGGTATACCTTCCCCACCTGCCGCGTGCAGTTGGCGCTGCCATTGCACGCAGGACGGAAGGGAGGAAGGAAGAGACAAGGGGGAGGGAAACGCCCGGAGCACGAGAGAGATCTGAAGGCGGGAGGTTTAGGAGCAGGAATGCACGCAGCAGAACCAGGCGGGCGGGCCGAGCGGGCTGACCCAAACGGGCAGGGCGGGCGGGCGGGCCCAGACGGCCGCTGGGTCACGCGGGTGGGTCGTTGAAGCGTCAATCCAACATGAATCGCAAGGAAGTTTCGAGCGATAATTGGATTCCCAAGCAAATCGTGAGAAAATCCAAAGCGAAAGCGCGATTCTTGAGTCTAGGGGGCACGGCGTCTGCATAGCTTGCGAGGAAGGCCGACGATATCGCGATTCCTGCATAGATTGTAAGGAAGTCCTGCGCGAGAGCGCGATTGGAATACACTCTGAGGAAGTATCAGGCGGGAGCCCCTGTTGTTGCAAACGCGGGGCCAACAACGTAAGAAAAGCAGGGTGAGAGCCCCGCGAGGGCACTTTAAAGTGCACCGGAGGGAGGGGTCAAACATACTAATTCTTTAGAACTGTGAGTTCTACAAGCAACAAGAGAAGCAACAACAGCAATAACAAAAACACGAACAAGCAACAATAATGACACCAACACCACCAAACAAACCAGAAACCGAACTTTCTGGTCGTTCGGCCAGCCCTTTGGTCAACGAGCCCAGGCGGGACAAACACATCCGGCGAATACACCGAATGAACAAAACAGTGAAACCGGCAACAGGAACAACAAATACGACATTATCAACAATACCAACAAACAGCCAGCATCAAGAACAACGACAGTAACGACATCAACAGCAACACACATCATACCACAAGGAACATGTTTGAATGTAAAAGCACTTCTCGCAGCCATGCTTGGTTAATGAATCCTCTGGCGCGCTGTAGTCTGATCAAAACGAAAGCCATCAACAATGTTAGCAAATATCATGATCGGCACAACAGACCATGGAGCAACAACATCACCAATGACAACAATCATAAACAACCCAACTACAGTGGCCACAGCAAATCATAAACAACAAACGACGACACCGTGAACAACGCGGCCATGAGATGACGCCGCCTCAATATTATTTTTCGTGACATTCGAACGCCGCCTCCGAGACGACCTCGCTTGTGTCCCAAGATGACGCCGTGAACCCTAGTTGACCCCAAGATTGCCCCAAGATGGCGCCAATGTGACTTCATTTCGTTTCTCCCTTTCTGCCCTTGCTCTTGGCTTGGGCCAATCGGACGGATGGGGGTGCTGGCCCTCCGCCCCCTCGTCTTCGCCCTCTTCCTCCTCCCCCCTCGTCCTCGTGCCCTCGCCGTCGTCGTGGTCGCTGTCCGCCAGGCCCCATTGGCAGAAAGCCCAATCCCCGACACACGCCGAATCCATACCGTCGGGTCGCTGAAGAAGGAACCCTTTGCGTTGGGGAGGGGCTCCGCGTTCCTTAATTGTCTCGCAGTTTGCCATCTGTTTTCCATAAGTTTTCGATGGGAAATCGAAGTTTAACTTATGGAAAAAGGGGCCTCGTTCCTTATTTTGGGTTCCTTAGGTCAAGGCCCCGACTGTAGTTTCTCTGATTTCGGACTCTTCTTGAAGCGTTTTGGGCGCTTCTTGTGGGCCATCTTGGAACGCTCTTGGCCGGAGGCATGCGGCGTGCCACTCTCTCGGCGCCTCATTGGGGCGCTCGGGGGCCCCGGAGGCCGCGCCCGGGAGTTCTGGCAGCTCTGACCCGGCCATGCGGGGACCTTGCCAGGACTTGCCGGGGCTTTGCCAGAGTATTCTTCGTCCAGGGACCCCCAGGGCCCGCCGCGCGCGCGCAGAGTCAGAAACAGTCCTGAACTCGTGCCGGTGATTTTAGCAGGCCTCTGGCTCGTTGGGCCGGCGGATTTACCAGGACATGGGATCTGGCCGGCCCGTAAAGAGGTGGGGGAGATACATGAGGGGGCACAGAGGGCTGCTGAAGAGGGGCCCTTTTGTGTCCGTAAAGGGTCCCTTTTGGGCCCAGAAGGGGGCCTTCAGGGCTCGACAAGGACACCTTTCCCCTCCATCCCCATTTAAGTCCCCCCTTCACTTCGCGCCCAAGAGATGGAGGAGGAGGAGGAGGAGGAGGAGGAAGAGGAGGAGGAGAAGGAGGAGGAGGAGGAGGAGGAGGGGGAGGGGAGGAGGAGGAGAGAGAGGAGGAGGAGGAGGAGGAGGAGGAGGAGGAGGAGGAGGAGGAGGAGGAGGGGGAGGGGGAGAGGGAGGGGGAGGGGGAGGAGGGAGGGGGAGGGGGAGGAGGGGGAGGAGGAGGAGGAGCCCTCCTTGCCTCACTCGTGCACGCCGAGCTGCGGCAGTTCTCGCTCGTTGTGTTCCCCACCCCACCCCCCGCACACGCGACCGCTGTGCGCCTCGGAGGAGAGCCTCGCGCAGGCGCAGAGGAGCGCGGAGGCCGCGCTGAAGCGGGCGAAGGATCATCGTCGTCGGGGGCGGAGGGGAGGCAGAGCAGCAGGACGAGGAGGGAAGGAGGAGGATGAGGAGGGCGAGGAGAGGAAGCACTTTCTGTCCGCCTTTTCATACATATACTCTTACATATACCAGTCACAGCCGGTAAAGCATGTGACCTGGTTGCTTAGTTTCATCACCCCCCCAGGGCCAACCGGCTCTGGTGTGGGGAGGCTGCGATCGTGGATCCCTTCAGCCATCAGGCATCAGGAATCAGAGGGAGCAGGAGGAGGAGGAGGAGGAGGAGGGACGAGAAGGAGGAGGAGGGACGAGGAGGAGGAGAGGATGAGGGACGGGGAGGAGGGAGGATGAGGGGGAGGAGGTGACCCCCTTGTCCCGCCCCTTCTGGAGGAGGAAGGGGATGAGGAATGGGAAGACGAGGGATCCCCTGGTCCTCCCCTCTCTTCTGCAGTCGCACCACGGGAATGCTGCTCCCCTCTCCCTCGGATGCAGCGTCGTGCCGGGGCGCTCGTCTCCCGCATCTCGCGGTGCAGCGCTGGCCACATGTCAGCACTGGTGCTCTTCAGTTCGAGCAGGCGTCGACTGCAGAATTGATTTACGCCAACATGTATGTCACCTTGGAATCTACCACGGATGCGCAGAATGTAGTAGTCGATCCCTTACTCGATCAGTATGCACATGCCGTCGTTCAGATTACCGCTCTCGCCCAGGCGCGGGCCGCATTTCTGGATCCGATTCCTTTCCTCCCTGGTTGCCGCCCCCTGGTTTCCCTTCCTTCCCCTTCCGCTGACCCCCTGTTCCTCTTACTCTTGTTGCTCCTGCTCCCGCTGCTCATGCTTACGGCTCTCCTGCTCATCCTCATCGTCATTCGCCACCTTCATCTCACATGTACAAGGCCTTCCTTCTGATTGCGCATCACACGATGGGGCCACTTTGGGGGATCAATATCTTTTAGGACACGCCAAGAGTGCACGCAAATTCAGCGCAATGGGAAAGGACGTGGCTCGAACGCACCTATTTGGTCCTCATCCGCTCTCCCTCCTCTTCCGACTCTGTGCAAATAGACGAGCTCTCCCCTTCGCACCACCAACAATGTCGGTACTTCAGGGCGGGCCAGGCAGTCGTGCACATTGTAGAATCATGGAGCTTGAACCTTCCAACACTTGCACCAATGAAGAACGTGTTGATGTCAAATTTTGGGTGGCGCCCTATCAGTGTCCGCATTAGTCACTAACAGTTACAGTATTTACGTGTCACGCTCCAACAGCTACACGGGCAGATCACAAACCGTTTCCTTATAGACAAAGCGATCGGTGTTCGTTTAGTGCCGCGAAGGACGAGGACGATAAGTAGAAGGGTTCTTGGGGCCCTCTTGGTGCCCCCTGTTGGTTTCCGGGCAGCCTCTTAGAGGCTTTTGGGGGCCTCTTGGGGGCCTCTTGGGTCGTCCTAGGGTTATCTTGGCCTGTCGGAATTCTTCGGATGCCGTCTTGAAAGCCTTTCTGGGCAGTCTTGCGGCTCTCTTGGGGTGCTGCATGGCCGTGTTGAAGATCTTTGGGGCCTGGGCTTTGAATTGTTTCCAGGAGCCACCGTGGAGACCTCTCCGACCGTTTGTGGCTGTCGGCAGCCCGCAATAGCTAGAGTGCCAAATACATGGAGCACTTCGGGCAGAACAGTGATGTTTGCTTCGAGGCTCCCTCCTAGGGCTCCTCTTGGAGGCTTCGCCCAGGTCTTGGAGGCATACATATAGGGGGAAGCCGTTGGGAGACACACTTTGCGAGGGACCGGCTGGATGCGCCGACGACCAAAGAGAATTTTCGAGGAAGGCCGAAGACAGGTATAGAGCCCGGCACCCTGGGCACCCCTCTGCATGCTGCGGGGGCGGCGGATTTGGCGGTCCTCGCTTCGTCCCGCCCATCGGCTCGCGTACGTCGGTTCGATGACATCGCGCTCGCTGTTTTTCGCTCTGGAGTAGATCCCTGCCTTCCAAACGATAGCCGCCATCGCGGGCGGGCCCGCACAATGCCGAGCGTTGCTACAATTCCCGCTCGGCGGGGATACCGCGTTCCCGTCTTGCTGCGCAGTCACAGAGCAGTTGCGCGGGATACTGACCAGAACCAAGTTTCAGAGAGTGGCGAAGCGCTTCTTTGACATATCCTGCGGTCCTGTGCATTTCGGGGAGTCCAGATTCGACCACGTCGACGGCACCCATGGAGAAGTCAGCGGAGAGAGAATTGCAGACGAAGGATTCCAGGCCGAACCCCCGAGAACATCAGCGCACATGACGTCCTACGAGTCGAGGGGTACCCTTGTGCAGAACGTGAATGCCCAGACAAGCATGCTGCTGGATCTCTTCGGCGCGGGCGGGTCTGAAAAGAACAAGAAGCAGCTCAGAGCTTGCGTGGCCTGCGCTTCGGACATATCCACGCACGTTGTTTCCCGCGGCTTCCGTGCGAAATGCATGCAGTTGGAGATGGGCTTATGACGACGACGATGATTCTGAGCGATATTGCCTTGTGCGGGATGCAAGTTAGATCGAGGCGGCATAAAGTAGCATGCCTATGTGTGATGGTTGCCGACGTGAGTTCGCGCGGCTCCACGGTGGCCCTCCAGTCAATGCAACTTCATCGCTGCTACAGGGTTGACTCGGTGCGCTGGGCCTCCCAGCAATTGTGTGTCTCAAATCGCTCCGGGTTCCAGCTGTGACAAAAGTCCTTTGGCAGGAGCTTCGCGGCAGTATGCTGTCGCCGCCGAAGTTGCGGTGTGGCCGCCCAGTGGCGCTCGCCAAACTGCAAATCAACCATTGCCGCAGGGCTGCTGCAGCTGAACGCCTTAGCAGCCTGCTTCGCCGCTTCTGTTTGCGCCTGCGCTTCTGGACGCAGCGCGACGTCGTGCGTAAGTCTTTGCAGCTCCTGGCCGTGGAGCGCGACGTCGCATTCCGCGATGTCCGCGGCGGGCGCGCGGCAGCGTGTCCCGCATGCGTCACCTTGCGCGAACAGGTCCGCCCTGTGACGCCCGGCGCGCGTCAGCGGAAACCGTTGCCAATGCCAACATTACTGGGAGGGTTGCGTGCGCAATGCTCGCTGGGAGCGGAATCGGCCGTGCCGCGTTCTCGTTGGGAGCGCACTGAATATTCATCGGGGGCCTCGTGGAGGTCCTGGGGGGTCATCCTGGAAGCCTCGCGGGAGAATTTCAGGGGCCAGTCGGGCGGTAGCGTCTTGTTGTTGTTAGTCTCTGGCGGGGTATGCACAGGAAAGGGCGACCTCACCGCTTGCGCAGCTCAGCAGGGCCGAGGGTTTGCCCCGCGACGCGAGGGAGATGGGATTGTCGGCTGCGGCAGGCCGCTTCTCCAGAGTTGCTTCTGGTTCCATCGAGCAGCACGCACGTTCTGAAACAGGCGTGCGGGGCGTTTTCGAAACGCCCTGAACAGAGTGATGAGACCGCCTGGTATGAGCCGCCCTCCGCCCCGTGCGCTTCAGCAAGGGCATCGTCTTGACCCGGGGCCTCGTGTTCAGCCGGGCACCGTGTCGGCCCTCGCCCGCGCGGTCGACGTGGACGCGCGCGGCTCATCGAGGATCACCAGACGTTTGAACAGGAATGTCGCGTCGGGCTTCGCAGATGAGACCAACGCCCGCTTTTTCTGGGCGGGGCGAGGGCCGGCGCGGGGGCCGAGGACCAGGGCCCATCGCGAAGATCCGTATGTCTCTCTCGCTCGCTCTCACGCTGTCCAAGGACAGCTGCGACTGGATGTGCCCGAAGTACCTGGCCCACATCCTGCGGGGGGCGCGGGGAAGGCACCAGATCGGACTCTGCGTCGGCAGCGAGCGTCGCGAGGCCGCCTACTGCAGCAGGAACGATGGCGCGGTTCGCTCGTCGCGCGACCCGGAGCGAGTGAAGGCGAGCATCGCATTCTGACATGTTTGCTCGCAGCAAGCGACGAGAGTGTTCGCGGGAGCCATCGTCGGCCCAATGGCCCGCATGGTTGCCGAGTGCGCTCGCGCTGCAGGAGTTTTGGCCTGGCGCCCTGAGCCTGCAGGTGCATTGGGCCACTTGTCGTGGGGCTGCCCTGGCTCGACAGAGGTCCGACCGTCCTGCCAGCCTTGCGACGGGCTGCAGCGCCGCTCGTTCGTGGGCGAAGCGCAGCGAGAAGACCGACGAGGGGATCTTCGACCAGGCTTGCATGTTTGCTGAATTCCACGGTGCTCCAGAGACGGCGCGCCGACGGGCATTTCAACCTCGTCGGCGTCCCCGCTGCAAAGCTGTTATTTACTCGAGCGCGGCCATCAGGAAGACAGTGGCTTTCGTCGAAGAGGAACGACTGCGTCTTCGTCGATGGCGCTCCAGCGCGCGCAAGATGTCAGAGGTGGACGTCCATCAGGAGGCCGAGGAGCAGCGGCAGCAAGTAAAAGAGCACGCGAGAGCACGCGGTAAACTGTTCACGTCTGCAGACGCGGGCGGAAGTAAGCGGTTGATCGCAGATGAGTCCCATGTCGCGTTGGAAAGCGGCCAGTCGATCAGTTTTTCCGACACCTGGGCATCGACCCCGCGCGGCCCAGGACGCACCTCCCCTTGCTGTTCGACGAGGTGGCGGAGAAGCAGCAGCGTGATTTCCAGGTTCGGACCCCGCGGAAGTGGACCCCCGCGCGTTCGTGGACCGGCTCGCGGCGTTACAGAGCGCCGCCAGAAGCGCCGATGACATGGGGCTCCACGACGTGCTCGCGCGCGCCCAGAACGCGCGGGGCGCCGCGGCAAGGGCGGCCCGAGGGCCGCGGGGCGGAACGCAATGGGCCTCGAAGGAGAAGAACGACACAACAACAAATCTTCGAAGTCGTCGACGCCGGCGCGCGAAAGGCTGAAGACGGAGGCGTTGTGTCGGCCGCGGCTGGCAAGGACATGATGGGCGCGATCAACTCGGCAACGTGGATCGCGTCTCGACCTGAACGGCGTTGTGGCGATTGCGTGGGCCGCTCAAGGCGACAACAGCGTGCAAACGAATGGCACCGTTCGGG